TTCCGGCGGCGCAGCGGCAGCTGGAGGCGGTGCAGCCGGGCTTGGCGCAGGAGCTGCTGGAGCGGGAGAGGTTCCTGTCGCTGCTGCGGCCGACCGATGGGCCCGAGTACAGCCCCAGCCAGTGCCAGGAGGCGCGCCGGGGGCGCTTCCACCTCTTCTATGTCACCAAGGCTCGGTGGTCGCTGCACCCCAGGGCGCCGGGTCCGCGAAGGTGCACGCGTCCGCATCAGGGCTGTGGGCGTGCGCTGTGCAGGGGAGGGGGCCGGCCGGGAGCCGCAGCTGGGGGACCCCGGCCGGCGGGCCCTTGGGGGCAGAGTAGGCGGGCCCAATCAGTTCCTCCCGCTGTGGAGCAGTGCACAGTCGGGACGACGTGGGCGTTCGTGGTCCCCACACCGGCCCCAGATTTGGAGGAGCAGAAGGGGTGGGCGTTGGTATGCCGGCGGGTGGACAGACAGACAGACTAGAGGTAAAACGTAGTCAGTTTTATTCTCCTTAAACCACAAAATAGAGTCTTTGGTTGTACAAACATCACTAGTTACAGTCTCGCCAGGAGGTCCCGGCTGGGGAGGGGGCAGTTAGCGGCCAGAACTCCTGAGGGGACCTCTTTAAAATGCTAATGGCCGGGTTAAAAGACTCGAGGCAAGGGTGGTGTTGGAGGTGGCAGGGCCCCCACCCCAAGTCGGGGGAGGTACCCTGACCCTCTAGGAGGGCACCGGGCCCAGGCCCCGGCGCCCCGGCCGCACGGCGCGGCGGCTGCTGCACAGGGCCACCTCCTCGGGGCCCACGGCGCTGGGAGAAGGCCTGCCCAGAAGCACCATGGCCACCTCTCCATCCTCCTCTGGCAGACCTGGCCGACGGGGGCAGGGAGTGAGCTGATGGGCCCCAGGCACCCTGGGAGCACCCGGGGCCGCGCCTGCCAACTCACCAGGGCTCGGAGATGGTTCCAAGGACCTCAGCTCCTCAGCAAAATCTGGGGACTGTGATGGGGAGAAGGGCTGCTCAGGGCTCCGCCCCAGACCTGCCTGAAACCACCCACCTGAGCCTGGGTGCGTCCCTGCTGAGCCCTGGCTGGAGGATGGGAGGTGGGTGGACAGGGCTGGCCATAGAGAGACAGGGAGGGTACCAGAGGAGGGGACAGGGCTGGGTGACAGGCACAGCAGAAAGGTGGCAGGAGCTGGTCGGGCTGTCTTGCAGAAGGGCCAGGAGGGCCCGGTACCTGCATGTCATAGACAGGTCTGGAAGAGGGGAGGGCTGCAAACACCCTGTAGTCAAACTTCCTCCCAGACAAGGCCTTGAAAGGACAGCGTGAGGAGAGAGGTAAAGAGCGTGAGAAGAAAGAGGGCTGGGGGAGTCTGGATCCCTGCCCCCCACCAGAGGAGGAGTGCAGGGAAGGGTGCCAGCTGCTGGTTCCTCACCAAGCGTCCCGGGGAGGTGCCGGTCTGGAGGCCGAGGTCTGGAGGGACAAGAAGTGGACGTCGGGAGAGGTCCGCGCCGCAGGCTGAGCCCCCCGCCTCCCCACGACGCACAGACCTTCCAAGGGGGTGGGTGACGGGGTGGGCGCGGGCGAGGGGGCCTCGGCCAGGCGCTCCAGAGGCCCCCGCTTGCTTCGGCCCTCCTGAGACTTGCTGAGGACCATCTGTGCGCGGAGGGCGTCCTGTTCCAGAGACTTCATCCTGCGGGCAGGGGAGCGGAGGGCGGGCTGGGCAGGGTCGGAGGGCGAGGGCTGGGGAGGGGAGGGGAGGGGACGGGAGCAGTGCGCGGGGCCGGGGCTCACCTGGCCGCCCTCCACAGCGCGCGCTTCTCGGCCTCCAGGGCGCGGCGCTCCGCCGGGGACAGGGTCCGCTCAGGCGCGGGCAGCTCCGGGCTCTGCACGCGCAGCCGCTCCTGGTGGCGCCGCTCGGCCTTGGCCGTCCGCACCGGAGCGCCGCCTCCCTGCGGCGGGGGGGACGCGGGGCCAAGCCTGGGCCGGGCGACAGGAGAGCCGGGTGGAGGGCTCAGCCTGCGGCGGGGCCCTGGCCGGCCCAGGGCGGCTCCTCCTCGGGCTCCTCGTCCTCCGGGGCCTCGCCTTCCGGGCGCCGCGCGTCCGCCGCGTCCCCCGACGCCTCGCGCAGCATCTGTGTCCTCTTCTGTTGCAGCTTTCGGGCTGGGGGAGGGGAGGGGAGGGGCGGGTCAGGCTGGGAGCCGGTGCTCCCCTCCCCGACCCCCACTCCCAACCCAGTCGGCTGCTTACCTTCCTCCTCCTGCATCTTCCGCAGGTCGTCGGCACCCACCAGCGACACGCGCTTAGGGGGGCCCCCGGTCTGGGGCACCCGCACCTCCAGCTCGAAATACTTCTGCCGCTCGCGGAAGGACAGCTGCTCCGGGGAGGCCATGGGCCCAGGCGTGGGGGGCTGGGGAGAGCACGCCCTGAGAGCCGGTCCCTCGGGTCTCGCACCCCGGCAGGAACACGCAGCAGGGGACCGGTGGGCCGCCCACCACCTACCTGGGCAGGGGCCTCCAGGGGCGGGTGCAGGCCGGGCACGGCAGCGAAGGTCCTGTACGCCTGCTTCACGTTGGCGGGCAGCTCGTCAGGGGAGGGCGGGGAGGGGGGCTGGCGGACGGGGCACAGTGAGCTGCGTGGTGACAGCTGTCCCAGCCGCAGCCACCACCCGTCCCACCACCAGCTGTCCTTGCTGCCTGCCTCCCCGCCCCCCCGCCCCCACGGGTCAGGGCACTCACGGATTGGGGATCACCTCTGCCCCTGGGGGCCGGGGAGCCCCTTGGCCAGGCCTGAGCCACTGGCTGGATCACCCCAGGCTTTGTCTGCAAAGGGCAGGTGCAGGGGCCAGGAGGAGGAATGGGTTCAGGTGAGGGGATGTGAGGGTGGGGGGAGGGCGGGAAAAAAGAGAGACGGAGCCCAGGTGGGCGGCTGGGTGGGTGTCCAGGGTGTGAGGCCAACACTCACCCATCTGCCGTGTTGGGAAGGGGCGGAGGCCGGGAGCTGGGCTCCAAGCTGGCACTTCCAGTGCCTACCCCTACCCTGCCACCAGGCGAGAGGGGAATGCCCACAGCCTGGCCCTCCCCATGCAGCAGAACCGGGGAGCCTCTGCAAGCAGGTGGGGGTGGGGGCAGGGCCAAGCTGGCCCCCAGGGGATCCCAGACGGGAGGACGGATGGGGGTGAGGCCGCCCTGACCACCCACAGCCCATCTGCCCAAGGAAGCCACAGGAGCTCCCCAGCCCCACGCCACCCAGCTCTGCCAGGAAGGGGCCCACAGGTTGTGTCCTCAAGAGTGACGGATGGCAGCTGGGGGGAGGCGCTGTCCCCTGGCAACCCCCTTCCCAGAGGAGGGGGCTCTGCAGGCAGCACCCCACTGGAGTCCTCCACCCCCCACCCCCATGTGCACTCACCTGCTGTTGGCCAGGGGAACAGGGGGCCTCAGTCATCTTCCCGCCACTTGCCCCAGACGGTACCTGGAAGAGCCGAGTGGTGGGTGGGATGAGGGCTGGGCAGGGCTGGGGCCCCACAAAGAGGACCTGGGGGCTAGGGTGCTTGCTTTGGTGGCAGAGGCTGGTCCTCAGCTCCCTGACCTGACCAGCCCAGGGAACATCCCGAGATAGGCGAGCTTTCCCCACAGCGAGGCCACCCACCCTCCCCGTGAGCCTCAGAGATCCATGGGCCGGGGAGGCCCCGACTCCTGCCAGCCACCCTGTAGCTGTGCCCCTTCTGCTCAGAGGACACTGGGCTCCCATCCTGGGGACCTCCTGCTCCTGCCTGTCTGTGGCCAAGGGAGGGATGCCATGCCGTCATCCTGTCTTCACAAAGGCCCCGAGCAGGCTCCCTCAGCCCCCAGGCCCCACTCGGCCTCTCACCCAGCGCAGCCTCCTCCCGACCATTCATGGTCGGTCCTGCGGGGTCTCCCAGCAGCAGCTGGTGGGGCACACCCTCCGGGAGGGGTTATTTCTAGCTTTGGGGAGAGGAATGAGAAGCACACGCCTCCCGTCCGGTGTCCCCACCCCCAGCTGGGAGTGCTGGGCCTCCTCGCCAACCATGGTCTCTGGGGCTCCCGCAGCTGCTCCAGCCCGTCCTCCCCACCGTGGCTGGTGCCTGATCCCACCCTGACCACTCTGGTGGCCTCAAGCTGCCCCTGCCTCTGGCCCTGTCCCAAGCCCTCTGGGCCCACACAGCCCCTCTGCCCAGCCTGCCTGGTGAGTCTGACGGCAAGAGAAGGGTTGGGGCAGAGGCCAAGGGCCTTCTCAGAAGCTGGCCCTGCCGCGCCACACCTCACGTCCCGGGCTCTAAGGAGGGGGCAGAAGCATCTGCTTCACGGCTTGGTTCACGGATTCAGGAGGACGAGACACGTGCCAGGCTGGGAGGTGGCGCTCCAGCTTGGGCGCCCTGGCCAGTTTCCTCCTCCAGCCCCTGTGCCACGTGAGGGCCCTCCACAGGCCTCAGCCCTCCCCCTGGGGGCAGCCGCCTGAAAGCCCCGCCCTGCAAGGGTCTCAGGCGGAGGAAAGGAGGTTAAGACAGGGGCAGGACTGACGGACAAGTATGCAGACAGAGGACAGGACAGGGGTGTGACAATCAGGGACTGACCCTCTGCACGCTGCCGGCGCTGGGTGTGGCGGCCAGGGCACGGCAATCCAGCTTCAGGCTCTCCAGGCTCCGACCCTGGGGAGCAGAGTGGACACAGGGCTACCAGGGGCTGTGCCTGCCACCGGGTATGGGGTGGGCAGCCAGAGCTCGGAGCCATGGGCCCGTGTGCGGAGAAGCCCACCGTGCAGGGCAGGGACAACCCGGACACTCACCACGGCCTCCGGCCCCCACTGTGGGGTCTGTCCAGGCAGCTCCTTCTCCTGTGAGCAGAGACAGTGGTCAGGACTGATGGCCTTAGGCTCCCGAGCCCTAGGGCTGCTGGCTGCAGGCAGTTCTGACCTTGCTGGGGCCCTCGGGGCTCAGCTCCCGGTCGATGGAGGAGATGCTTTCCAGGCTGTTCCTGCGGCCAATGCCCGCTGCAAAGGGGTTGGCGATGATGCCTGGGGACACCTGCGGGAGGAGCGGGCTGAGTGACCACACATACCTGAGGTGGCCTCTGGGGGCGGGCTCTGAGCAGTGCCGCCGCCCACTCGGGACACCATGCCATCATCCTGTGACTTGGGGCACCCACAGGTCACGTCTGTACACTGCATGCACCAGAGGATGTTCTGATGCGGGGCAGAATTCCCAGGCAGTGACGCTGGGCCATGGGGCAGAAAAGGCTGGCCACGTAACAATCACCCCGGGGAGCAAAGAACTGACAACAAGATGGCGGGGGTGGGGGGTGGAGCCGCAACGTGCCTGACAGCACAGAGAGGTACTGAGGCGGAAGTCCAAGTGGCAAGGAGGACAACACTGGTTCTCACATCAGAAAACTCTGTTCGAATATGGAAGAGCTGACCCGTGGTGCTGACTGGAATGAGTGATAAAGGCATGATGTGAACACACGCTCTTCCAGAATTACAGAGATAATCGCGGATGCAAACGTGCCTACGTTCACAGGTGTGATTCCAGCCACTGAGAGGTCCTGAGACCATGACACCCCGACAGCCGTGAGCATGCCCAGGGCCCAGATTTTGGCTTCTAAGTATCACTTTCCACTAAAGGAACCAGTGCTCCTGGGTGGGGAAGTATGAAATGACCCCAGACATCTTGTGCCAGAAAGTAAGCTGCTTAAAGGAGGGTGGGTCATGCTAACAGGGCCAGGGCCAGGGCCAGCCAGAAGCCCCTCTCATCAGCCAAGTCTGGGATGGCTTGAGCACCAAAATCAACAGCAGTAGTGACAAACTATCACCTGTGAAATGAAACGGAAACTGGCAAATCTACGCTAAGGAAGACGGGAAAACTCCTCCTCAGGGTAGGAAGCCGCTCGATACACGTGGGAGGAACAACGGGGACGGCGCACGAGCTACCACCAGGGACTGAGGCATGGACAGCGGCAGGGCTGATGCTCGGGGGGAGCCCGACGAAGAGCGGGATAGTTAACACAGTCTCACAGCACCTCCCCACAAAGCACTTGTTAATTTCAAGGGAAAAGCGTCATTTTGCGGTGGAGCAACCCGGAGACGCCCCCATGGAGAGGGTCACTGACGGGACACCACCATCCCTGCGTCCTGGAGAGAGGCCCTTGAAGACAGTGTCACCTCTGTGCTAACCCTGCCAAAAGGGCACCAACTGAAGCCCGTCCCGAGGAAACACCGGACAGACCCACAGCGAAGGCTGTTCCACAGAGTGATGATGGCCTGTGCTCGTTCGAAGTTCAAGGCCAGAGTCAGGGAGACTTGAGCAGGCGTGGCAACCAGACACCCACATGCCCCGGACAGTGGCCTTTGGCGTAGCCCCGAGACCGCTGGTGGGACGCACAGGGGGCCTCTGAGTGAGTGCTCTTGACGCTTTCCTCCAACTTTTTTTTTTTTTTTTTTGCGGTACGTGGGCCTCTCACTGTTGTGGCCTCTCCCGTGGCAGAGCACAGGCTCCGGACGCGCAAGCTCAGCGGCCATGGCTCATGGGCCCAGCCGCTCCGCGACATGTGGGATCTTCCCGGACCGGGGCAAGAACCCGCGTCCCCTGCATCGGCAGGAGGACTCTCAACCACTGCGCCACCAGGGAAGCCCCTTTCCTCCAACTTTAAAATTATTTTATGTACTTGCCTATATCCTTCAGAAAGAAATAATGGCAGGAGGGCTTCCCTGGTGGCGCAGTGCTTGAGAGTCCGCCTGCCGATGCAGGAGACGTGGGTTCGTGCCCCGTTTCGGGAAGATCCCACATGCCGCGGAGCGGCTGGGCCTGTGAGCCATGGCCGCTGAGCCTGCGCGTCCGGAGCCTGTGCCCCGCAAATGGGAGAGGCCACAACAGTGAGAGGCCCGCATAACGCAAGAAAAAAATAAATAAATAAATAAATAAATAATGGCAGGAGAAAGCAACACTAAGGCAGATGACGACCTGTGGGGCGGAGACGGGACTGACTCCTCAAGGTGCGTGTCTGTAGTTTTGGCTTTGGGGCCACGTAAGACTTATAATAAGAAAGTGATCGGGCTTCCCTGGTGGTGCAGTGGTTGAGAGTCCGCCTGCCGATGCAGGGGACGCGGGTTCGTGCCCTGGTCCGGGAAGATCCCACCTGCCGCGGAGCGGCTGGGCCCGTGAGCCATGGCCGCTGAGCCTGCGCGTCCGGAGCCTGTGCTCCGCCACGGGAGAGGCCACAACAGTGAGAGGCCCGCGTACCGCAAAAAAAAAAAAAAAAAAAATTACAAAAAAAAGCGATCTTTTAAAGTCATCTCTAAAAACAGAAAACAAGTAAGCCTAATTGCATGTCAAGTTGGCAGTAGAACAATTCAGAGAATTATTTCAAGTGACTTAAAAATACAGTATTTTGACTGTGCCTCCTCGGTGGATAAACCCTAAGGACATGAAGAAATTTAAGATGCTATTAATGGGGACTTCCCTGGTGGTCCAGTGGTTGGGACTCCAGGCTCCTAATGCAGGGGGCGCAGGTTCCATCCCTGGTCAGGGAACTACATCCCACATGCTGCAACAAAGAGCCTGCGTTCCACAACGAAGATCCCACATGCTGCAACTAAGACCCGGTGTAGCCAATTAAAAAAAAAAAAAAAAAGATGCTATTAATGGTTTCATTATTAGTAATAACATTGATATTGCTTTTTGAAATTATAACTATGGTAATGTTACTTAATTTACTGAAACAGTTTTTAAGATGAGAAAAAGAAATACAAATATAAAATCAAAAAAGCCAAAACCCTGTAACCTTAAATATGAATTGAAAGTAACAGCACAAATTCATGATTTTTCTCCTTCCAAAAATATCCACTTCCCAGGATTCACGTGCTGCAGAGGCCCAGGACCAACGACAGCTCAGAGCCACAAGCACCCGGCCAGTGACAGCTCTGAACCCCACACCCAGGGCTGGGGCAGGAAATACATGGACGCCTGGTCACACCAGAGAGCAGGACGCTAGCGAACGACAGGTGTCACACTCAAAGGACACGGGAGCCACACTGCCCAACGAGGACGGCACACCGAGAATATACAGACCCTAAAAACAAAGGCAGAAAAACACCTCTGTAGCCATCTTCGGGGGTTTCCAAGGCACCAGCTTGTTATTTAAAAAGTCAACAAATGAAAGGAAAGAATCAAAGTATTTATCACACCTCTCCTGTATAAAATCTTATTTTAGGATTAAAAAAATAGCTGATAAAGAAAATTTCTTCCTTACAGAAAGGTCAGTAGGGTAACAAAGCAACCGATGTAGAAAGAACAACTGAAGCCTTCTTTACAGCAGTAATCAAGGAAATACTGAAAAAGAAAGGCAGTCTTGATCAAATCCTAAAGCTGGTTAGTTGAGAAGTCCGTTCAAATACACAAGACTTTGGTGAGTATGATGAGAAGGAAGAGGCCGCAGAAATCAGATCAAAAAGGTGACAGAACCGCAGAAGAGGAGGAGCGGCGGAGGAGAGAGAATATTCCCAACCTCGCACCAACATGCTGAGAACTATAGCAAGGAGGCTTCTTGGAAAGTGCACAGTGGCCCCGAGGCCCTGCAGCCGAAGACCGGCCACCAGGGCTGTCCGACTGTACGGGAGCCCCCAGGGGATGCGGCCCAAGAGCAAGACAGGCAGGTACTAACGACAGTCCGCCCCACCACAGTGCAGAGCATCGGGGAGGAGGGACGGGGCGCGGGCTGACAGAAAGGCGGGTTTGCAGGATCCAATCAAAGTTCGGGGAAATGGCTGCAAACTGATTCCTATACCGGTCAAATGGGTCAATGCAGATGAGTCAGGTGGGCCAAGGTTAAGAGAAACGGGGGTGGGGGGACACATGGTGTTACCCCTTTTCCTTTCAAGCACAAAGCCAGCCAGAGGAAACCTGTGCACTAAGCCTCAACCCCACTTGGCACAGGGCTGTAAAAACCATCAATGAAGGGACTTCAGAAAACTCAACACCCATTTCAGAGAATAATTCTTACAGGTTATAAATGGAAACAGCCCTCCAAATTAAAAAAAAAAATGCTATATAAACTACAGCCTGGAAGTCGGCACAAGGGAAGGCCACTGACCACCACCACCACCGGGTCCCGGGGGGATGGAGAGGCCTGACCTCCCAGGAAAAGGGGACCCGCAGCCACCATTCGGGCCGCACGCAGGGCTTCCACTAGGGGATGAAAGAAAGCCACCGACGAGAATTAATAAGGAAATGAGCAATCTATGAATGTGCTTGGGGAAAACTTACACAGAGATCGAAGCTAATCCCTGAGTCCCAACCAACTTTTGTTAGGGAACTTGGCAGGTCCATTTAGGAAACACATGTAAATAGACTCAACTTTTCAAAAGAAGAAAAAAAAGTGGGTGACTTCACCGGTTAGGTCTTGAAACAGAGTCTAAAGTGGCTATACCGAGGATAGCAGCATTGGCCCAAGAGCGCGTCCGGCTCCCCAGGGCCACATCCTGGGCCACAGGAATGTGGATCTGACCCACAAGGAAGTCAGATTTCCCCAAATCAGTGGGAGAATGACAGACGTTTTAGTGCATACCACTGGGACAAAAGATCCATTTGCTTGAAAAGCAATTCCAGGTGGATTACAGAGCTATATGCTTTCTAAAAGAGTGCTTTGACAATCTTGCAACAGAGAAGATTTTCCTAAGCAAAAACCAAACCCAGAGATCATAAAGAAGTTTAGAAGACCTTAATTCATAGAAGTCTCCACTTCTGTAACCCCAGAGAGGCCGTTCCTAAGCAGAAGACAAAACCACTCGTGCCCTACGTAGTAAAAGACAAACCTACAACACAAAGGAGCAACTGCAAGGTCCCCGAGCTCAGTGAATTAGTGACTGAGGACAAACTCCCAAAAGGAAAAGGACGGGGAACCCGACGGCACTGCCTGCCAGATCCCACAGAAACAGAAGCTGGTGCTGCCTGAGGCTGGGAGCGGGTGGGAGACAAGGCAAGCCTGTGGCCTCTGGCCCAGCACCCACTCTTCCAGGACTCTCTCCTGCAGAAACTCCCCCCAAAGCATAAAGATGGGCTCCTGAGCGCTCTGGCTAGTAACACAGCACGGATACAGCAACACTGGACAGAAGGCCAGACGCAGGAAGTCAAAGAACAACCAGCAGAACACAGTGAGGGCCCCCTGTAAAGTCTGGAACACACCAGCCCCTTCCCTTTACCAGGAAGCTGTATTTATTCTCTTTCTTTGTACAAAAAGCTTTAAAATAAGTAAACGTATGAACTAAAACACTTAAATACACGTTTTAATTAAGTATATGGAAGGCAAAGCCTTCTCCGGAAACCTGAGAGAGACTGCTCCCCAGAAACGACAGGGTTCCAGTGACTACAGAGATGTGGGCACGGAAGCCAGCAGAGGGTGGCCCCAGAACCCAGGGAGTGGGGCCTCCAGCCTAGCATCCAGCCCTGGAGCAAAGAACACGAATGCAGAGTCCCTCCCCGTTCAGGAGACAACACACAGAATGAGGGTGATCCCTCCCTGACAGCGCAGGGCAAGTGGGGCAGTAAGTCACCATCCCAAAGATCCACTGCAGGCCAAACCAAGGTGACTGCTCCATCCCAGAGGTTTTGCCAGCAAGGGCACCCTCAGGGTGGAGCTGGCAGCCACTGCAGGTGACGAGCCTTCGGAGGCCTGGGCGGGCATCAGCTTATGCCAGGGGCCCGGGGACAGCCGTGGAGAAAACAAAACTGAGAAGAGCAGGACAGCGGGACCCTCCCGAGCAGAGAGGACGCTGGGGCTCGGAAGCCAGGCCTGTCCAGGACACAGACTGGGCCGGGCCCCAGGCCTCCAGAGCCCAGACACTCTCCAGGGGGCTAGGAGGGAAGACAGCTGGGTTCTGCCACAGGCCCACCTGGGACGGGGGGATCCTGGGCGCCGAGCTCCCTGCTGAGGCGCTGCCAGGAAGAGCAGGATGGAGCCTGGGCCAGCAGGGTCTGCAGGGAGGCCGTGTGCCCGGTTCTGCGCCATCCTGCCCTGGCCCAGCGGCCACACGGTACAAGGTACTGCTCACCTGGAGGCAGGTAACTCAGCCTTTTCTTTCAAGACACGACCAGGCCATCTGTGTACACGCTTCGTCCAGCCCGGGTCAGAGCCTCCACAGGCCATGAGCGGTGGCCAAGACCAGGGCCCAGCACCGCCCTGGTCACCCCTGGGGCTGACTCACGACGGCCGAGCGCTTCCCAGGCTTGGAGGTGGAAAGGGGCAGCTGTCCTGGCCCGCACAGGGTCAGGTCACCGGGACCCCTCCAGGGAAGGACCCAGTCCCCGTGGCAGAGCACCGGCTGGGCGAGGGCACTGACCTCGGGGATGCTGGTGTCAAAGCCGTCACAGACAAGCACAGTCAGGGTGTCGCCCACGCTGCGTAGCAGCTGCACGGCTTCGCCGTGTGTCAAGCCCAGCAAGCTCTGCTGGTTCACCTCCAGCAGCCGCAGCCCCACCCGCAGGCGACCATCTCGCCCAGCCGCTCCTGTGGGGCTCACCTGTGGGGAGACCCGGCCCCAGAGCTCAGGACCAGCCCATGCCCGAGCCCCCTTCTGCCCCGAGGAATGCAGTGGAGCGGGGCCGACGAGGCGGGGCGCTCACCTTGGAGATGAAGATGCCCTCGTCCGTGGGGTCACAGGGATTCCCTGCGTGGCCCTTAGCGCCCCCACGGATACTGATGCCCAGCTTCTCCCCAGGGGCCTTCTGGATACAGAGCTCCCGCATGCCCGGGGGCGGCGGGTCCCTCCGCACGAGCAGGACCAGCTCCAGGCAGGGCCGCAGCAGGGCGCTGACCGCTTCCTGGTGGGTGGCGTCCCGCACATCCTGCCCATTCACTCCCAGGATGCGGTCCCCAACCCGCAGGCCACTGCGTGCAGCCAGGCCCCGGGGGAGCACCTGTTGGGGGAGGGTGGTGCGCAGTGGGCTGAGGCTCTGGCTGCCCTGTGCTTGGGCCGGGCCCTCTATGCACAAAGATGCCTGCGGGGTCTACCCTACCTTAGAGATGAACACGCCGGGCTCCTGGACGCCAAATGGGTGGCTGGAGTGGTCGGAGCCCCCGACAATGCTGAGCCCCAAGGGCCCCCCAGCTCTCGGCAGACAGATCTCCTGGGGACGTGGAGGGGTGGGAGGGGTGGCTGGAACAGGCCTGGCAAGGTACCAAAGGGGCGCTTTCCAAGCCCAAAGAGTGTGTGGGATCAGAGCGCCCCGCTGCAGGGAGGCCGTTGTGCGTCGCGCAGGAGACCACAGGAGAAGGAGACCCGCCACTGAATGACGCCCTGGTGTCCTGGAGCCGCAGAGGGCGTTAAGTAGTTGCTTCCCCACCGGTGCGGCTAGCACCCCATCCCTAAAGCCGTGTAGACGTGGAGGAAGGGGCCGGCGAGTGGTTAAGGGTGGGGACTGGGGTCTCACCTCCACTGGGTACGGCCCCTCCAGGGCAGCGGCCAGCAGACTGGGGGCCAGCCTTAGCGGCCCGGGCTCCCCAGGGTTGGCAGTGGCCATGGTGGTGGTGGTAGCAGCAGGGGGTGGGG